ATCGCTCAGAGATTTGAGGTCAGACCTGCCAAACTCGTAGATCTCTTCTTCTGAGTGGTGGCCTAATCCGTGTCCGACGACGTGCTTAACGTTCTGTCAATGCATTAAATCAAATGTGTTTAGAGCGAGAGAGACAACAAATGGATGACTAATCGTTTTGACACAAACCTGTTTGAACTCTAATTTGAAGAGAAAGCCGACCACAGGTGCGGGCAGTTTGGTGTTGACCGCGCGCTTCAGATCCATTTTAGCCGATTCGATGTACTTCTGGGGATTGCTGTATCGCCACCAACGCACCACCCTTTACATCATAACACACATGCATTAGTCATCCACACATCAATTAATGGCTAATTCTCTTTATAGACTAATGACTCCTCCAAAACACTTACTCTCCAAATGCGAGACATTAAATGCGAAATCGATATCAATATCATAATAAAGGCAACAACTATTAGACCAATTCTAGTCTGTCTTATACTGTTTAGTGAATCTATTTTTGTATTCATATGTCATGGATATGTCTCCAGTGTTTCTATGGGATACCTCTATAGGCAATACTATTATACTATTAGCCATAAGCGCAACGGTCGAGACAATACTGTTGTGTGCAAACAATAACTGCCAAACAATCAAATGAATGACCTTTTCTTATATAATATACTAAAATGTTATCAATGGGTGAGAAAAAACAATTTTCTACTCAAATAATTGTCAAATCCTATCAAAACAGTCAACACAACGATGCGATAAATTAATGTCCTTCAAAGCTATGGGAAGACGTGAAATAACTGACACTTCTTTCACACAGTTATCAGTTATCAAATGTTTTCATCTCTTTTTATAAGTTATATAAAAATCTATTATACATGACATCCATATATACTTTTAAACTATTAATTATATTCTCTATAAACACAACGCAAATATTGTTGTAAACCGATGTCAGCGCTAAATAGGTTTATCTGTGTGTTTGGTCTCTATTCATGACAACCCATTTGTATAACTTGTAGATTCACTATCTCTACAATCGGTGCCAATTCTGTGCACTCGAAGAATAGGTAGAGTCCTCTTAATGCCATATAACGAGCATTTCGTGACATTATGTTTAGCATTAGGATTGAAATGGAAATAACATAACGGTTCCGCGCCCTCAATATGTATACACTTTATTATATGACTAATACATTATATACTTTTGCTTTTATTGATATACTGTGTTATGTCTGCGCCGTTGTCTACGGGCTATCACTTTCTAAGAGTGAGATATCAATTGCAAAGTCTCTTCAGATGATGGCAAGTGATGAGAGACAAGAGTGGGAGACACGAGACAAGACATTGCAATGAGAGTGAGAGGACAGGCCGTCACTGCATCGACAGGAAGCGGCAGATTGTGTATAACACTGTCGATGGGCTGAGAGAGTGGCACTGGAACTGCAGACCCATCACTACTGCTCTCATCACAAATAAAAAATAGTAACTGAAATGAACGAACAGATCCCAGAGTTGTACACAAAACAGTATATCAAACACAACCCCCAAAAGTTATATCATTCACTAAATCCTCTCACATCTCAAACAAAAAATATATTTCTCGATATTAATTGAAAACTATTGATACAATAGAGACCAATAAAGTAATAGAGTTTAGGATTACTTTCCGCTCTCTATTATGTAATCATATCCTTCAAGACCTCTGATTTCCTTATTAAATATATATATAAAATACTGGCATTTACTGCAAACAATTGCCACTATTTTAATCTCTTATGTAAATCGTTTGTGTAATTAATTTATTAATATTTCGCTCAATTGTTAACTGAATAAACGCTATCATTAAATATGGAGAACACGTCTCAAAGGAGACCGCAATTAAAGAGACAGCAAAAAAAGTAATTATAAATGTCTGGCGCTGTCAGACATGTCTGTTATATCGGGTGGCAATATATGAGGACATGGGATGCGATGACTTACCAACTCGTGTGGTTGTTTAGCATCGAGACGAAGGCGTGGCTCACAGTCTTCTGTTCGGCAGTCAATCCCGAGTCCAGATCTTTGTCGAAATGTTTGGACAGATCGCGGATAATAATGTCCGAATCGGCGATCTCTTTGCCATTCAGCTCCACGAACGGCAACTGACCCTTCTTTGACTTGACGCTCGTCTTGAAGTCCACGTTCTGGGCATCGGATCAGACAATCAGATCAAGTTTAGATCATTAGATGCCATATTTTTCAACATCAAAACTGACATTCAATTGCCTAACATTTAGATTAATGGCTAATAGAGAGTCAACGCCTCATAAATATGTTTTGGGTTTTTTAAAAATGTATTATTATTTTCGCGAAACTTATATTTCCCTACAATTTAGGCGTTAATTTGAATTCAAGACTCAATTTTCATATACAATACAATAGTTAATGAACGCATAGTTTAAGGTTGTATTGTGTTGTTGTATTGACTAATTTGTAAAACCATTGATTAATGCATTATTCACGGCATTACATGCGTTACTCTGTTATGGCTTTTAATTCAATTATAATTTATTTAAATTTTGAATTCAAATTTTAGCGCTTATTAAACGTCTCTTTAAATAAACACAAACTCTTATTATCACAAGTGGTATAAAAAAGGCAATAATAATACGAATTCAATGTTTCGCTTAAATGTCTTTGACTTTTCAATTATCAGTAGTTATGATAAGCTATTTATGCGTTCAATATATCTGTCAAATGAGTTATTGACAAATGGGCTCTCCTTTCAGACTATCATTAAATAGACATTTGTCTCAAATGTGCTGTACTTTCGGTTTTAAAACACAGTAGAAATCAAATGATAAACAAAATAGAAATGCAGACCTCGTATGAGATGTCGTTCATCTTCAACCAGGTCTCCACTTTGAGACAGAAGGGCGACGTCGAGACGATGGCCGGGCATCGGGGGAACTGATACAAGTAGACGGTGTCCTTCTCGTAGTCCACTTTATGAACGGTGGGCTTCGGGAGAGCGGCCTTCTTAGGACTCGCCGACTCCGTATTGGAGGCCTCCGTCTGCTGTTCGGTCGTCTCGTTCTCGCTTACGGGCGAAACCGGCTCTTGAGTGCCGGTCGTGTTGTTCACAGTCTGGTCGGTGCCAGCGGTCGCCGTCTCTGTCGTCGAAGTCATGGCTTATGGCTGTGGAAGAGGCGCAACACCGCAGAGGAAGGCAGAAGAGGTTAGTGTCGGTCACAAAATCAGTCATATATGTAATGATAGATACGATTGCGAAGTGAGAGGTGTTTTTGACACAAGAAGTGAGAATCAATTCACGACAAGTGCTGTGAGTGAGTGATGACAATTCAAATGGTGGTCATAATTACCTAGTGATGGATGAATTGGATCCGTTCAACGATGGGAACAGTTGTGGTGATAGTTGTGTGACTCAAAATCGGGCAGACTTTGCGACTGAAGGAGTATTGAATGGTATTTAATGTGCGAATAGTGTATGAAATGGCGACACAACACACACTCTCTCTATGGCATAGGCTATGGCTTAACACAAGGCATAGACTGAGGCATACAGTGCTGTAGTGCTGACAGTGCTGTACAACCAATGGGTTTCGTATCGCTAGACGTATAGCACTCTCTCCTCTATTATCAGCGCTCACTTCGGCTCTACTGTTGAGTACTGGAGACTGTTGTGAGAGCTATCGCTATATAACTTATATACCAATACTGACTGTACTGATAGCCAGTGCTGTGTAATGTAGCGCAAGTACAGTGAACTGAGTCACACAATGAGTGGATGCCTGCAATGCTGTGGTGTTTGTGCATCAATGCAACAGTCAGTACACAGTAGAGTCGACCCAACGCTCGGATTATGCGCTCAAACGGCCCATAAATGTGTGGCAAACGTGTATTTTTTGAAAGTCAACCCAAACTCAAGCATTCAGTGCCAGTTTCAGTGCCACTCCCGACTCAACAATGCAGTAAAGTTAGCGCAAAATACCACTCATTGGTCCGTTCCAACAGCCATCTCTCTCTCCCCCCTCTCTCTCTCTCCCGCACCGGCTATACCAGTGCTCACTCACTGCCAGCTCATGCCTGCAAAAAACAGTGCACATCATCTCTTCCATACTCTCTCCCCAATCCCTCTCTCGTGTTAAACCTATTGCCTGTCATTTTGGCGCTTTTGTCTCCTCTCTCTCTCTCTCAGTCCGTCACCTCTGGGCTACGGATACGCGACTCCATCTCCACCTCGAGTCACATCTAAACCCTAATCAAGCGATTAGTTTTGGGAGTTTTGTTTCACATCTCATATTGTTTTGCAAATCTCTTATCTCTCAAAACTTTTTTATTGTGAACTCAAAGTCTCTAACTCTTAACGACTAATTGCTTCCTCTCATACCACACAACCAAAACACTCTACGAGTTGACAAATATCTGCGAGATCTTAGCTATTAATCACTTGTTTTACAGTTAATTATATTTCGCAAACACTTGTCATTTCTATCACTATTTGTGTGCATAACATAACAAAAAACTTTTTGTGCATTTTTCTCCACTATTTGCTTATACCGAGTGAACTACTAATGACTCGAAAACACAGAAAAGATTTTTCCTCATTTCCCTGACATTTGTGAGACACAGTTCTTATCATTCAGTTTTGTCTTTCATTTGTTTTGGGAAGTTATTAAAGAAACACGAGTTTAAAAAGAGTTACACAAAATATTTGGTATTATTGGCAGTAATTGAGAGCACAGTATCTAATCTTATCGCACGAATAGTTGATATTCTTAAGTCTCATATCATATCTTATGGTCTATTCTAATGGGTATTTGAAACACAAGTTTAAACACAAATTCTTGTAATCTTCAGTCAAAATATTTTACCACTACTATTGAGTTGATATGTTTGGCAAACAAATCATTATTAATACACAATTATAATGAGATTTATTTCCATTTCAAACATACAAACAATAGATTATTGCATTGGAATTTCTTCATGAAAACCTCGTCTCTATTTTCAATGAAAACTTTTTTCTTGTTTTGTTTTGCTATACGAAAAATATAAACATTTTTGTTTTTTATTCATTTGATTTATAAAATACTTGTAATATACAGTGTATTCAATACGAGAGAGAGAGAGAGAGAGAGAGAGAGAGAGAGAGAGATAGGTGGAGATGGAGTCGCGTATCCGTAGCCCAGAGGTGACGGACTGAGAGAGAGAGAGAGAGAGAGAGAGAGAGAGAGAGAGAATATTGTTAAATATTTCAAAATATTTTTCGCAGCAATTCTCACATATTATCTATTTTATTACCCGACTCTCATGTATGCAATCCTAAACTATGTGGAAATGTTTAGGTCTTTTGAATTTGTAATTTAAACTTATTTCGGGAGAACTTTTTAAAACATTTATACATTATATGGTATAATGTATTGCTTATTAAAATATGCAAAATATTAAAGAGCACATCACTGGCGAAGAAAGAGTATCTGACAATGAATTCTTGTTGACTACATCAACACAACTGGTCATAAATCATGTTCTGGTTGTACACTATGGATGAGGTCATCGCCGATATATGTGTGCGGTTTTGTACACTATTGAGAGAACATAGTGTACAGAAAATAACCGGAATATAATGTGGAAGTAGTTCACGATTGTTCACAAATTGTCAAAATATAGTGATATAGAGTTAGGGGTCACGACTCATGTCTTGTCACGAACTTTTTTTAATACTCTTTTTACGGACTTTTTACATCTTTTTTCGCTGATTATCTCTCTCTTGCGCTCAATTCAATCAAAATGTGTTAAATAACATGTAATGTATGTATAAAAACGAGATATTAAATGCACAGTATATGTGCAGTCAGTATACGAGAAAATCTCTTTCGCAGTTCCATTAAAAATAGACATTAAGTTTATGTTATATAATAGTAGTGTTAGAGAGCTATGCCTTCAAACAAGTACTTCAGTATTAAAAATAAAATGAATTGTATTTTATTTAAGAGTTTTTCACGAGGAATAATATATTTATATAATGTTTATTCCCAACACATAACTTATAAGCAAACTATAAACTACTTTTCAATAGATTTTTAATTCAAATAAAAAATTATCACAAACTTATAATAACAATAATACTGTTTGTTTTTATTCGAGTTATTTATTTGACTTTTAAACTGAACGAAAAAACAAACCGTAAAATTCACCGTAATTTTAGCGAAGATGTTATGTTTAGTGCTGTATATGTTGTGTACAAAATGTACAAAATATAAAAAGTATTTTAATTGAATTTTTGGTTTAAGAGAAAAAAGAAGTTTCAGAATAAAAAAAAACTTTTATATTCTTTTTGTCCTAATTTAGTATGAATTTTGGTTTTGGTTTCCAATGCTTAGCAACGAAATACTGTATTAACTGTATTCTAGAGACTAAAAAAGTAGTTAATACTTGAATTATACTCAACGACTGCATAATAGTAATGCCTTTTAGTCTATTTATAAAAATAAATAAATAATTCATTTCGTAATAAAATTCATAATTGATTTTATATTTGTTTAAAAGAAATTTGCTTTTTATTTTCGTAGACGTATTATAATTCAGTAAAAATAAATAAAAAATTTATTATAAAAAACTGTTTTTATAAAAATGATTCAATGAATAGTTAGGAAAAGGAGAGAGAGAGAGGAGACAAAAGCGCCAAAATGACAGGCAATAGGTTTAACACGAGAGAGGGATTGGGGAGAGAGTATGGAAGAGATGATGTGTGTTATATAGCGATAGCTCTCACAACAGTCTCCAGTACTCAACAGTAGAGCCGAAGTGAGAGAGAGAGAGAGAGAGAGAGAGAGAGAGAGAGAGACGACTATAAAATAGTTATATTCTGTGTTTGCATTAACAGCTAATTAATGATTCAATCGACTCGACAATGAATGCCATTCAAAACATGAGATCATTTGTGTGTTTTTTGCTTAATAAATGCGATAATACATTATCAGACGCTAGAATAATATTGAAACTAAACATTCATAGAGTTATTTCAATAGTACAGTACTTTAACATTACAAACGAGATTAAAAGTGAACGGAATTTCTGTGATATACATAAATATAAATAATATTTCTAATAAAAGAAACAAATCAAAGGCTAATAACTTTGTGAATATATGTTTATTCTGATTATATTAATAAAACATGTGAAATACGACTGATATTAATATTCAGTGAATGAATCAATGAATCAATTGTATTCAATTGGCTGTCAATTAACAAAAATAATTATCAAATGATTTTCGTTTAAACAATTTTTTTGTCAATAAGGCTGTCATTTGACAAAATAATTTAGTGGTTAGCAAACAAAATAAATGCCAAAATCGATCGGAATTTCATGTTTCATGTGATAATTAGGGGGAATTCAATGAAATGCTATGTGTTATCAACAAACAGATAAAAATTCGTGTTTAAAGTTTTTTAATAGATTAGTATTAAAAATAAAACTTTCATAACTCTTCAATTATTTACGCTTTTAGGCTATAATTGTGTTCAAACACTGCCTGTAATTTGGCGTTCATTTTCGGGTTTACCTTTTAAAGCAAATTATTATTTAAATCAGAAAAATGTTTTGATAATAGCATTTATAAGGTGTTTAAAAATTAATAAATAATAAAAAAGGTTTCTCTCCAAAACCCATTATAATATTAGCACTGCATATGAAATGCTGATGAACTCAAAGGCATGAAAATTTTGTAAAATAGATTTTAATGCCAGATATTTTCCACGAGATAATTAATTGAATTTTAATTGAGTAGTCATTCACTCTCACACACAATATAACATATTTTAGTTTTTCATAGACTTTCATTTAATTATTGCAAAACTATGCAAATATTTTTCTGTGGATATTATGTTATCAAAGACCGGATTCAATGGAAATAATGTCTGAATCACTCGACGGAAACACTAGATTTTTTGTTTCCCTTCCACTCATATTATCTTCACTACTAATGATTGGCATTTTGTTTGGATTATAAACTTTTTGCAAATATAAATACAGCAAATATGTGATGGAAATTAGCATTTTTCCTATCATCACAGATCTTTACAGTAAATTAAATATGAAATTAGAACACATTTTAAAATTGGTTTTTAAATTTATGATGATACTAACATAGTTAGGATAGTGTGATTTCTTTTTACCAAGAATTTGTTATTTTTAACTACAATTACAGTTAAATCTACAGATAGATAAATTACTGTTTATTACATTTGATGGTTACACCCTTTACCACAGACCATCTTAAAAAGAGTTAAGAACTAAAAACTTTGTATTTTAAAAGTTATTTTAAAAGTTTTTTAAACTAATTGTTACAAATAAAATATATATTTTTAAAATTTATAACAAATATAAATTTTATATTAATTAAATGCCACAATTCCAATTATGATGTAAAAAAATAAATATACTGTCAGTAATTGCATTCATTTTTTAGATTTATTAAAAAATTTATTTGATAGTAATCATGAAAATCACAGATAACTTAATTGTATAAACTTTTTATCAATATAATTTATGATATTATTATAAAAAACTAAGTTTACAAGTAAATTTTATTTTTGTAATAGGATTTATAATAAAACAAACACAATTATGTCTGGATACAACTGGCAATTGCTATCCGGTAATTATATAACTTGTGAGAAATTTTATATGAATGCATAAGAATCTATATTTCTCCACAAATACAACATATTTGTCAATTTGTTTATTAAATTTCTGAAATTCATATTTTAAAAACTTTTATTTATAATTATAAAAATAGTTTGATTTTATGTTATATTGATATTACTAATATACAGTACAGTATAATAGCAATTATAATAGCAGTATAATACTAATTAACAATAATTTTTTATTAATACACTAATAATTCACATTATAGTTACCTTTTAAAACTTTTTCATTTTTTATTGATATTTATAAAAATATATAATTAATCCGATACGAGTCAAATATTATAAGATTACACTACACTGTAGTGACTAAAGTGACTGTAGTTTACCTAGTTTACTAGTAGTTTATAGTAGTTTACAATATCACACTTTCCATTAAAGTTTCCATAAAACTTACATATTAAGCACACCTATTGTATTAGACCTAATGTTCAATATGTTTTCCATCAAATAAATTTATCATTGAGTCGATTATCCCATATATAAGATGGGTATAAGACGTTATACCGCACATTAGTTCAGTAGCTGTGGATCGCACACCAAATTCACCACTTTTAGTTTTATTTTCTTAATAGTTATCATATAGTTATTGGTAGAGCACACCTCATCCGGACATTATATTTTCTATCACCGCAACTGATCCACAACTCTGAAAGCAAACAAATGAATAATTCACTAATTTTGTTAATTTTATTTGTTTTAATAAATACAAGTTATGGTAAAAATGCATGAAAAATCTAACTTTTGACGATATAATTGTTAATTATGATTGCATTTAGTTTATAGCGGGTGTCCGTCAAACTTCTTCGACTGCGGAAACGACAGATGTATCGCTCAGTTCTGGAGATGCGATGGAGAAGACGATTGCGGGAATTGGGCGGACGAACAGTCGTGTCATAATCTAAAGCTCAAATGCCATGACGTGAATGAGTGTCCTGTAAACCACACGCGCTGTAACGACACTCACGGCACGTGTATTCCCGACAAATGGCTGTGCGATGGTATGGATGACTGCTCTAACGGTGCCGACGAACACAACTGTACGGCCAATGCTGTCGAGTGTTCGGGCTTTTTGTGCCACAATTTTGAATGCATTCCTTCGCGATGGAGATGTGATGGCATTTCCGACTGCGACGACAACTCCGATGAAGACGAGTGCCCGAAGGCCAGGAAGAACGAGATCTGCGACAAAGCGCACGGCTCTTACCAGTGTATGACCGGTGAATGCATTCCTCACAGCAAAGTGTGCGATAAGAAGAAAGACTGTCCGCAGGGCGACGACGAGGGCA